TAAGGTCCCTTCAAACCCAAACCAGTCCATGATTTATATCCAGTGCCAGGACACCGCTGTCCAGCTGTGGACTCCCTTCAGGGGCCCAAATCCCACAGCCACTTTGGCATCATCCCCATCCAGGTGCAGAGGCCCTGGGATAGCAGCTCCCATCCCACCCTGACACACACCACCATACAACACAGGGTACAGCATACCTTCAGCAGGCCAAAAGAGAGCAACAGACAGGTACAGGTGTTGTCTAATTCCATTTCTATTTTCGATTTCCTTTCGATTGCTTAGTTTTGTAAATAATAATAATAAAAAAAATTAGACACCTTGTTTCATATGCATTTTTTTCCCTTGGATTTTTTTCCAACAGCAGCCCAAAGTGCCCTTGCTGGGATCTGTAATGCTGCAGCAGGTCACGTTTCCCAGCACAGTATTTGATGTCTCTTTCAAATGCTTCGCATCGTGGAGGTTACAGTTTCTGCTGACGCTGGCAGTTGATGTTAGAAATTCTCCAAGCTGCCAGTTATTCCAGCAGAGCTCTAAAGCGGTAGGAAAGCACTTCCAACCGTTGCTGTTACAGGTTATAAAAAGGTACTGGAAAAATCAGCACACTTCTGCCCATCCTGGCTGGACTCTTGCCTTGCCTTACAGCCTCCACCCTTGCTAAGACTTAGCCCTTATCTAAGCGCTCCCCTCATACAAAACCCATCTAATCGCTCTGAGGCTTGTCCAGAGGTTGTGCAAGAATTATCAGAAAGCTGTTCTGAGTGTGGTAGGTTTGAAATCACCAACAGTCTTCACACAGAAGTGTTCAAGTGTCAGGAAGAGAGCTGACAGCCAAATACCAGAGAAGATAATAAAGAGCACGGGAATAATGAGGTATCACAAGCTGCCTTGAAATGCCAGAATCCCGGTGCAGTTCTCCTTCCCTCAGTCCCTGAGCTGGACCGAGAGCTCATTTGCCTGTCAGCATCAATCTGGATGCATCCTTTAAAGCAAAACTTCCTGTCTGTGCCCTGAGGAATGCACAACCCCAACAGACAATGCAGAGGCTGAGCACAGAGCCTGCAGAACCCATCTATCCAGAACAAGGGGTTAAGAGGAACATTGCTTTCTGTGGCAGGATGCTGTCCATGTCTCCAGCCGAAACCACATGCTGTGAACTCAATGCCCATTGCAGGGGAAAGGCACAAAGGACCAGCAATGATTCGTTTTTCCTGGGTTTGATCTCTGCCCTGAGGATTCAGCCCACATGGATTCACAGCCCCACAACGGCACCGAGTCGGGAAGTTGCAACAGCCTTGCTCCGAGGACACATGGCAGAGAGACTGCCAGGGGATCAGAATGTGATCCTCAACTTCTGCTGACACAACAGGAACCTTTTAATGTGAAGAGCTGTGAGCTGAGCTGGTGGAAGCTGATGTCTAACCAGCCTTGGCTGCCCGGGAGCGAGGCAAAGAGCAGGCAGGAGAATGGAAATGGCTTGAGCCTGCCTCGGGCACAGGGCAGGTTAGTGTGTGCTCTATAGAACACTGCTGAGGCTGGGACAGCTTCACACTGCTGTGAGATGGCGACAGGAGCACCTGTCTGGGGACTCCATGCAGGACAGCTGTGCAGGCCTTCAGGTCACTCCAGGGCCTGGCAGTCCCCCCAGTACAGATCTGCCTGCTCTCCCCACACCACCAACTGAGCGCCAACACACCTGGTGCAGGCATGGATGTAACTGGAAGCAGCGATTGCGCTGGAAAACACAGCTCTTTGGTATGAGGCTCCTTTAAGGGAGTTGCAGGAAGGAATTAAAAAAAAAAAACAAAAGAGGAAAAGAGAGAAGTGGGGTGGTTGCCAGAGCTGCTACCACAGTGCCAGGGAGCCTGGAGGGCACCGGGACAGCCCAGCGTCACATGCCTAACGCATCCTGTCTCCAGACTTCCTCGCCTGCGATATATGTGGCTTGCACATACAGACCGTCATTCAGCACCAGGAAATCTGCATTGGGTGAGAGAGAAAGGATGCAGCTGAAGCTGGCTGGGAAGAGCTGGGCTCAGCAGGGAAGAGCTTCCCCCCACCCCACAAATGGCAGCAGGACAGCAGCATGGTGCCATCCTTGCTATGGCAGCTCTACTCCATGTTGGCCGAGATGCGGGGTCTCACCAAAGGGCTCATGAACCACCACCAGCACCCAAGGGAAACACCACTGGGGCAAAAGCCCAGAGCAAACCCCAGGCAAAGCAAGTCTCCCTGCAGCTCCAGCTGAAGCAGGGAATGAAGATGTGTTTGCAGCAGACCCAGCACCCAGCGAAGCACCCAGCTTTGCAGGAGCCCTCACACTGCTGTCCCCACACCAGTACCTGCATCGGAGTCATAATTTAGTGTCCCCTTTTTGTGTTCAATCCCCAGGAGCTGGGCGGGATGCAGAGACGCTGCCTCCAACGCGATCTCTACTGAGCACCCTTGGACAGAGAGGGGGAGACATTAGGGCAGCAAACAACCCTGTTGCCAGAGCAGCCTGAACCCCCCAGATAAGTCAACTGTCAGCCTGGCAGGGACCTGACCTTGAACACCCTTGCCACAGCCAGATGGAGCTGGGGAGGGGAAACATCCCCGTGGGACACAGCAGGAAGAGAAGAACAGAACACCTAGGGAATGGGGAGGGGAGAAAAGAGCAGGAGACTTCACCTCTCATCTATGCTATGGGTTAAAATGAACCTTCACCAAAAAAACATGCTCATCTGAGGCCAATGCTGCTGATCCCATCATGTCTCAGGTGAGAGGGAACGTTGCCTGGTGGAGTGGACACAGCTGGCAAGAGAGAGACTTCTTCCCATGTGCACATAAGGACCAGCAGCTTGTGGACAACACTTACCTGTGGCTTCTTGGAAGTGTCGCACACATGTGTCCATGGTCGCCACGCTGCCGCTCAGGGTCTTTGTGCCTGGGAGAGGAACAGGATGGCGCTGAGCAGGTCCCACAACTCACAGCAAGGAGAAGTGAGGTGGTGGGAAAGTATAACATGACCAAAAGAGGTGGAAATCCGGGATTGCACAAGAAGCAAGTTGAAGGGCCTGCAGCCATTGCTGCCCAGCGACAGAACAAGGCAAGAGAGAACCCATGCTGTCAGTGCAGGGACAGGTACTGGGATGTCCCCCTGCAGCTCCGCTCTGAGATGAGCTGGACCGGGTGAAACTAGCACACAACACAGGCATCTGCTGCCAGAGACAATGGAAGGACACTGAGAATGATCCTTCCTGAAATACTTTCTCAGTCTCCAACTGCTTGCAGCTTAGGGAACTTAGCAAGAATGGTTGTGTTACAGTAAAGACAAGGGACAATAACTATGCATAGGATTTCTCTGTCCTTTCTGACCCCACTGGAACCTCTGGCATCCATGACACTGTGTTCAAAGGTGCTGCAGACAGCTACAAGCTGAGAGATTCCTCCTCACCCCACGAAGATGGGGTACTTCCCCTCCTTAGGAGATGTCTCATTCTCCCCAGGGCCAAGTCCCTGCAGAGCCAAAACCCAAGAGGGTGGCACAAGTGCTGCCCTGCTCCGACAGGCACTGCAAGGTGTGCTGAGCTCTCCAGGAACAGGCATGACCGCCAGCACTGTCCCCAGCTCTTTAGCAAGAAACACTTACCTGCAATGTAGGTGTTCAGCCCGTCAATCTCCACCACCTGCTGCCCCAGCGTGTGCCGACCTGGTGCCAGCCCCATGCCAGCGATCGCATCCGTCACCAGCACCAGGCCTGAGGGACACAAGAAAAGGGGCTGCCTTAGCTTTGCAGCTGATCTTGCTGAGCTCTGAGCACTGTACCCCACTGGCCTTCCCAGAGAGAGGCCAAGGTGCCTCTCTAGCCACATGCAACCAAAGCAAGAGGGCTGGTGGATCAGCCCCCGTGGCTGTGGTCTTTCTCAGGCAGCAAGGGCAGTGCACCACAGCACTAGTGTGAGTGTTTTGTGGGCAATGCCTGGTGGCAGTGAGTGGGCCCATCACGGCTCACCTTTGGGGTGGGCTCGGTGGGCGATTCTCAGGGCGGCAGGGTTGGTGTGGATGCCATCAGAGATCATGCCATAGAAGACCCTTCGCCCAGCTGCCATAGAATACCCTTCGCCCATCAGGAATCTTGTCACTTGTCAGCAGCCCCACGATCCCAGGGTCACGATGGTGGAACTGCCCGAGGGGAGAGAGGACAAGCTGTGGAGCATCACCAGGACTTGTGGGCTGAGACCCTTCCTGGCAGGGGATGCAGCTGCCTTCTCTATCACACAGTGCCCAGCAAGCTGAATGCTCTGTCCTTTACCAGGCAAATCTGGGCATTTCCTCCAATCTCAAGAGTCTTTTAGATCAGGCAGTAGAAATGTGAAGCCAGAGGTTCAGTGCTGAAACCTGCATTGCAAGGCCTCATTGCAAGCTGGGGAGAATATGCATCCATGGGAAGCAGGAGAGAAAGCACCAGAAGCAATACCAGTGGTGGGCAAGTGCCCTCAGGTACTCACCGGCAACATGGCATTGAAGAGGTGAGTGATGAAGGTAGCACCGTGCTGCACAGCATCCTCAGCCTGGGAAAGATTAGCCACTGAGTGACCTGGGAACAAAGACCAATGCCTGATTTCTCTACCCATCTCCATTTATTTCTTTGCAGGAGTGAAGATGCTTCATCACTAGGACTTGACTGTGATGCCCCACCATGAGATGCCAGCCTCAGCACAGAGATGTCTGATCTCTCAGGGTGAACTTCACCCTGAATAACTGCCCCCCTCTTTCTTTTTTTTTTCTTTTAAAGGGATTTCTTCAATGATCTGCAGCAAAGAGGAGTTGTGAAACAGAGGGCAAGAAAAATGCAGCCAGTTTTAAGTCAGTGGCCAGCAAGATATTGGAGGGAGAGCTCTCCTACAGTGCTTCTGGTTGAAAAACAGTTATCAAAACTCAGCAGTAGCCTTTGGAAAATTATTTCACCTGTCAAATAAGCAGTGGAATTTCAGAGTTTCAGCCCTTCCATGTCACCAACCCTCAACTACATCTTTGCTCAAGTAAGACTGTATTTTTTCCTGTGTGTGACCAGCACCAGAAGCTACCTTGTGTTCAATGGCAGGGGCTCCCCTATCAATAAATACAAAGTTCACCCCTTATCATACAAAGCGACAGATATTCACAGCATCATGTTGTGTCACACCATTTGTGACAGGTCTGTCACCTCCACAGAGGCCAGGAAAAAGAAAATCCCACCATGTACAGTCACACTGAGACACCACTGGAGATGCCACAGCCCCAAGAGAGGGACAGGGAAACGGAGACCCCCTAAGCCTCCTCTGCCCCAGCCCTTACCCAGTGAGACACAGATGCCCCTCTTGGTGAGCTCCCGGATCACCTCGCTGCTCCTCTTCATCTCTGGGGCAAGGGTGACTATTCGGACACAGTCCAGGGAGCCGTAGGTGGCCAGCAGGTCCTGGAAGGCACCTGCCTCGAAGGTGCGGAGGCAGTGCTCTGGGTGGGCCCCTTTCTTCTCCTTGCTGATGAACGGTCCTTCCAGATGGGCCCCTGCCCAAACAGGAACACAAAACCATGACCCTTCCCCTCCCCGCCAAGGGCCAAGAAACCTGCTGGGTCTGTCCTGCTCCAGTCAAGCTCCTGCCATTCTCCTACAGCTAAACACATGGCTCAGGTTACTCTGAGCTCAGCACAGTGAAAGATGCATGGCTGGAAGCTGGCCAAGCTCAGACACCCCACTGCCACTAACCTGTGGGGACAAAAGGGCTGGAGCAGAGCATGTACACTGACAGACCATGCAGAGGCCAGACACAGGTTGAGGGAGAAAGTAGATGACAGAAAAGACTGGTTTGGGTTGGGAGGGACCTTAAAGCTCATCCAGTTCCAACCCCTGCCACAGGCAGGGACACCAGCCACTAGAACAAGCCCCTGTGCCCACCCGGGCCTTGAACACTGCCAGGGAGGGGCCAGCCACAGCTTCTCTGGGCAACCTGTGCCAGCGCCTCAGCACCCTCACAGGGAAGAGCTTCTGCCTCAGAGCTCATCTCAGTCTCCCCTCTGACAGGTTAAAGCCATTCCCCCTCATTCTGTCCCTACAGGCCCTTGTCCAAAGCCCCTCTCCAGGTTTCTTGTAGCCCCTTTAGGCACTGGCAGCTGCTCTAAGGTCTCCCCTTAAGGAGCCTTCTCTTCTCCAGGCTGAACCAGCCCAGCTCTCTCAGCCTGGCTCCAGAGCAGAGCTGCTCCAGCCCTCGCAGCATCTCTGTGGCCTCCTCTGGACTCGCTCCAATGGCTCCACCTCCCTCTTGTGTTGTCCCCAGAGCTGAACACAACACTCCAGGTGTGGTCTGTGCCCACTCATCCCTCCCATGAAGAGAGCTCCAGGCCTCATTTGTGCTGTTCCTACAGTAGCTTCTTTCCCCTTAATTGCCTACTTAGAGTAGCACCAGAGAGGATAGCAAGGGACAAAACCACTTACCCAAGATACCTGCTCCGTGGGTTCCACCATTTCTTATACTGATCTGAGGGAGAACCTAGAAAAAGGGGTTTGTCAGACATGGCACCCCAGCCACAGCACCCCAGCCTGTCAAAGCACAACCCACATGTCAGGTCCAGAGAGAGCTTTGTAGCTGGACCACTTGGAACCATCAGCCAAACACAGTCCACAGAAAAAAACTCAGCTGGAAGCTCTGCTGTGCAGAGCTGGCCTGGGAGGCATCACTGTCTCAGAGGTCTAAAGGTTAAGGGCAAGAAATCCAGGGGTAGAGTGCAGCTCCTTATGCCCATGGCTCTTCCCCTAAGGCAGCTATCCCAGTCCCTGTGGGCCCAGCCTCGGCTCTCTCACCTCTTGGTACCAACCTCAGCCCTTTATCCCCCTGTGGATGAGAGGGGAGAAAGTCACTTACCTGGTGGTACACAGCTGGAGGAGAGGTCACCAGGGTGGGACAGAAGGAGGTCACGCCATGGGAGAGGATTTTCTGACTGACCAGGTCAATCCCTGATTTGAAGTCATCTGTAGCCAGGGAGAAGTCCACCCCAAAGCCTCCTGTACCATGAACCAAACAGATATGAAACTGCAGCATGACTGGAGCAAGCTGCTCCATGTGTACGGCACAGAGCAGAAGCAAAGGGCTCCACCAACACTTCCGCCCTTTGCAAGGCTTTGTGAGTACAAATCCAACCAGTGCTGTCCTCCTGAAGTGCTTTTCCCCACAGCATCTTGCAAGCACCAACGTTTTATTTTGGTACAAGGCAAAATCTGAGGATTCCCCACTGTAAAGGGGATCTGACTTCCGACACAGCCTACCATAGAACAAGCCCCTCCAAACCCTCAGGGAAGAGCTTCTGCAGGTGATGTGTGTTCCGCTGGTTAAGTTCTGCTCTGTCCTCCCCACACCCTGGAAAGGGCAGGGCAGGCATCCTATCAGTGCAGGGGCAGGATAAAATGTTCATAAAAATGAGGTTAAGAGGAAAGCTGGGCTGAAACCCCACCCAGCCAAAGGGGATCAGTTTCATGACAGCACCAACCATGGGCAAAATTGTTCTTTACCGTTAGTTTGGTGACTCGCATCTCCCTCGTACAGCTAAATGCACCTGTTTAGGGGCAGTATGCATGCAGTGAGGTTTGAAGGACAGGGATGGACAAATCTAGCATCCCTCACCCCTCTGCAAGCGCATGTGGCTTTGCCATACCATTGATCTGGACATCGATGAAGCCTGGAGCAATGATGCTGTCCTTACAGTCCAGCTGGATGTCAGCAGAGCCCTTCTCCTCGAAGAAGAGTTTCTCCGGGTTGAGGATCTTCCCCTCTCGCACCCACAGGTCCTCCCTGAAGGGACAATCACACAGAGGCCATGCTCCTGTGGAGCACACGGAGCAAGCAGGTGGTGGCTGTGGCCCCAGGGACCACCCTCGGGCAGAGGAGCCCCAGGGGCACCCTGCGCCGCGAGCTCTGCAGTGCCTGCCAGGGCAGGACGGGCAGCTCAGCTCTGCCTGGGCTCTGGGATGTCCCCGTCACCGCGGTGGCTATGGCCGAGGGGCTGGCAGCGGGCACAAGGGGAGCGGAGAGCGGCCGTACATCACGCGCCTCGTCCCCCTCGGAAAGCGAGCGCAGGGGAC